GTGCACTAGGGTTCCCTTTTCCCCACATCCTCTCCAATACTTGTTTGTTGCTTTGTTTATGATGGCCATTCTGACTGGTGTGAAGCAGTATCTCATTGTGGTTTTAATATGCCTCTCTCTGATGGCTAGTGATAACTGAGCATCTTTTCATATGTCTCTGGGCCCTCTGTGTGTCCTCCTTGGAGAAGTGTCTGTTCAAGTCTTCTGGCCATTTTTTAACTGGGTTGTTTGTCTTCCTGGAGTGGAGTTGTGTGAGTTCTCTGTATATTTTGGAGATCAAATCCCTGTCCAAGGTATCATTGGCAAATATGTTTTCCCATATAGTTGGTTCTCTTTTCGTCTTAATGCTGTTTTCTTTAGCCATGCAGAAGCTTTTTAATTTGATGAGATCCCAATGGTTTATTCTTTCCTTTATGTCCCCTGCTCTAGGGGTCATATCGGTGAAGATATTGTTATGTGGAATGTCAGATTTTCCTGCTGATGTTTTCCTCTAGGACTTTTATGGTGTCACAACTTATATTTAAATCTTTTATCCACCTTGAATATTTTTTTGTGTATGGTGTAAGTTGGTACTGAGTTTCATTTTTTTGCATGTAGCTGTCCAGATCTCCCAACACCATTTGTTGAAGAGGCTATTGAAAGAGGCTTACTCCATTTTATGTTTCTACCTCCTTTGTCAAATATTAATTGACCGTAGAGTCTTGGGTTTATTTCTGGGCTCTCTGTTCCATTCCATTGGTCTATGTGTCTGTTCTTGTACCAGTACCAGGCTGTTTTGATTACAGTGGCCTTGTAATATAGTTTGATACCAGGTATTGTGATCCCTCCTACTTTGTTCTGCTTTCTCCAAATTGTTGCAGCTATTCAGGGTTGTTTATGGTTCTTTATAAATCTCTGAAATGTTTGTTCTATATCTGTGAAATATGTCCTTGGTACTTTAATAGGGATTGCATTGAATCTATAAATTGCTTTGGGGGACCAGAAATTCTAATTGGCACTTAAGATTGTTGATGAATAAAAAAACATAAAATTATTTAATAAGTTTACTTTGTTTAGTAAGAAAAAATTCTTTCAAACCATGAGGTACCTGAGGGAATACTTGTAGCATTTTTAGGAACACAATGGCCTGAAAACCACTGGTTGGCTGCATCAAAGGACTTTAACCTACCTGTGTGTGTACTTTGTAAGGTCAAATCTGTAGCTAGAACAATAGCCTTAGTTTACATTAGCAGTCTTCTCCCTCCCTCCCCCAGACATTCAATCTCTGATAAACTTCACATATAACCTACCAGTATTATAGAACATTGACTCGGAATTCTCTGAAAGAGGAAGGGATTCATAGGAGATAGAGTTGAAGAAATCTAATGTAATACAGTGCCAGAGATATAAGTTCTGTATGCAAATTGTTTACAGCAAGAGCGGTTTGCACAACATTGATACAGCATGGCAGCCAAAGAGAGAAGACTAGAATATTCATGCTTCAACAATGAAAACTTCACCGTACTAGTCAATGGGGGTGGTAGATGCTGTTGAATGAGCATGTGTACTGTGTGGCTGTCACATTAAAAAATAACTGAGCAAGAAGAGCAATGAATCTGCATCAAATTTTACATTAAGCTTGAACATTCTTCTGTGGAAACTATTTGATTGATTCACAAGGCCGCACCTATGGGCATCTGGTGATTGGCAGCTTCATCACGACAATGTACCCGCTCATGCATCACGTCTTATGTAGAATTTTTGGTGAAACATCAAATCACCCAGGTGACTCAGCCCCCCTATAGCCCAGATTTGGTGCCCTGCACCAAATTTGAATTCTGGCTTTTCCCAAAACTCAGATCACCTTTGAAAGAGAAGAGATTTCAGACCATTGATGAGATTCAGGAAAATAGGATGAGGCAGCTTATGGTAATTGGGAGAACTGTGTGAGGTCCCAAGGTGCCTACTCTGAAGGGGACTGAGGTGCCATTGTCCTATGTACAATGTTTCTCGTATCTTCTTCAGTGTTTCCATTTTTTCATATTACATGGCTGGATACCTTCTGGATAGACCTATTTATTTTTGTATATACTGTTTGAAATAAAAAGTAATTTTTCTGTGAACAAACTATTATAATGTATCCATGCCATGGATTGCATTGTGCGGGCAATGAGAATGAAGTTTAGGAATAGGTAGAGACACAAAATAACGCCCAAGAAACTTTAAGGGAAAACAAGGAAGTTATAGGTAATATGTATAATAGCATCCCCTTTGCCTAGCAAGAAAGCAGATTAAATATATATTATGGTGCATGAATATATAGATAGATATGTTCATATATGCATAAGCAAGTCTAGAAGGATACACACCAGATTTAACTATTTTTCTTTTTGGGTAAGATTGAAGAATGGAGAACTTTTACTTTTGACTTTATACATAGACTTCAGTATCATTTTTATTTTAAAGAAGGTTTTATCACTGCTGTAATTAAACCAAACTCAGAAGAGGCATGTAATTTTTAAAAGAAAGTGGACATGAGACAGGGCAGTAAAAACCTTGGAAAATTCTTTCGCATTCAGAATGAGGGAATGGAGACAGCAGAACGAACTAGCCAAGCAATTTACAGCCAGGTGCAGATGCTCTCCAGGGCAGAAGGCCCTGAGAGCCCAGCAGGGGGCACAGTGGGAAAACAAGGACCTCCCTTCCAGGATGACCTCTCCTCCTCTGGCCTTTCCTCCTTGGAGATAACATCTAGGCCTCAGTTTTGTTTCAGCTCCAGGCCCAGGAAAGCAGCAAAATCAGGTGGGTGACACCAGAACCAAATGAAATGAATGACTAAAGCCGCCCTGCCCTGCCACTGACCAATCAGTGGAGACCATGACCCTGAAAGGGTGCAGCTGGAGAACTGATGAATGTTCCACTGAAACCCTCCCCTGGGACCTCGCCTAAGGTTCCTGCCTGCAGGAGAGAGAGGAAAGCCTCAAGAAAAAGGACTCAGCATGCACTGCTCTCCCTCTGGGGAGCACCTGGAGCCATTTCCATTCATTCCCTTCTTCTCCTGCTTCTTTTTTCACAGGCACACTTCTCCTAAACTGTAATGCAATGGACAGGTGGCAGCTTGTTCCAGGCTGGTCCCCTGAACCTGTCCCCAAAGCCCCCTTTTCTCTGACTTCCCAGTGAGTAAGGCAGTCCAGCCTAGGCTCTCCTGTTGCTCCTTCTGTGTGAAGTCCTTCCCTGTTTTCCTGCTTCCAGCTTTACTCAATGATTCCTCTTAGTCACCTGGACCTGTTGTGAAATCTTTCCTATACCAAGAACCCACACACTATAGCTGGCCCTAGGCAGACCCACTCAGGGCCAGGCCCCTGTCCCATAACAAATAATGGACTCAGCCCCCTTGTTCTCAAGGATTGGGAAGCTGGGATGTGTTTGTGTGTGCAGCGAGGTACACAGTGGCAACTCACCCCATTTTTGGTAGAATCTGAGCTGTGGATAGATGTACTAACAGTAACCACAGGGATTTGCTCTGTTTTCATAAACTATAGATGTGTCTGATGTTTCCCCAGAAACTGGACGGAAGACAACTACACTGAATAGATGAAAACTAATGACAGAAAGAGGGTTTCCAAAGAGTTTGGCAAGAAGACTGCATTTGAGTCCCAGCCCTAGGGACTCACCCCATCACATTTGTTTCCTTGGCCTTGGTCACCTCTCCTAGCATTGTCTATTCTGCCACTCCTCCTCCAGCGTTACCCGACCCTTGCGAACTGCGTCCTTCCCTGGGGCTTGTCTCTGCATTCCAGCACTGAACAAGATGCCCTGATAACCGTTCCTATCTCTCAGTGCCTTTGCTCACTTTTGTGTGGGTATGCTTTCAAATCAAGTGAGCGTGGTGAACTGTTAGGTACTCACCATCTCATGTGGGGTTCGAAGTATGGAGATTTTCTGTTTCAGCTCTCCTTGCATACCCAGAATACCATGGAATGAGAAAACGATAACACAGCTGACCCTTGAACAGTGTGGGGCTTAAGGATGCCAAACACACACTGCTGCACAGTCAGAAGTTCAAGTGTAACTACAGTTGTCCCTCCACATACATGAATTCCCAACTGTGAATGGAAAATACTGTTGACCCTTGAATACCATGAGTTTGAACTGCATGGGGCCACTTACACGCAGATTTTAAACCTGTGCTGTTCAAGAATCAACTGTATATTATTAAAAAGAGAGAACAGACCCAAAACGGAGTCACTTTTACTAAGCCCACCAACTCAATACCTAACCTAACTGCAGTTTCAGCCACTTCTAGGAATAGACTTCTAAACTCATCAGTTTGGAATTCCCTGGTCCTCACTTAGTGGAGCAATCTGCCTGGTAAAACCCCGGCCCCCTGCCGGGAAAGGCAACCCTGCCTGGAAAACCCCACTTAACTAGCTGGCCCTCCTCTCTTTTTACCTATGAAAACCTTCCATTTTGTGCAACTCCACAAGCACCTTTTTAGTTACTAAATGAGATGCGGTCTGATTCATGAATTGCTTAATAAAGCCTGTTAGGCCTTCAGATTTACTCGGTCAAATTTTGTTCTTTAATGATAACTTTTTGGTTTCTTAGATCACGGTCCCCGAGAGGACATTCTGTTGACAAAGCACGTGTGTCCTGTGGAGTGTCGTGCGTACCATTGAAGGGGGTGGGACAATTGCCACGTCGTTTCAGTCCTTGCCAGAAGCAGAAAAGACTCTGTGGTGTTAGATTCATATTATGGAAGCAAAAAGTTCAAATTCATCCTCTGGCTGCGATAGAGGAGAGTGTGATGGCGATAATAAAGTGTTGTTTTTCTGAATTGCTACAGAATGATTGTCAGAACCAATGTGATTCACGCATCTGTTTTTTTAATGTGCCAGACTCATCACCGTGGCTTTAGAGTTTAGCTCGTGCCTGTAGCTGATGGAGCCCTGGCCCGGCACCTCCGAGTCCTCCGCTGGGGTCGGCTCACTCACAAAGAACCAGGGCTTTATTTCCAGGTTTTATTTCATTCTTTAAAACAATTTTCACAGTTTCAAACATAATAACTTATAGCTTAGCATTTACAGTGGCTAACCTCTGTGATATATTTTCCTTTTTGAAAAAACAGACAAGAGCCTCAGGCTCTAGAATCAAAACCAGTCCCATAGGAATGTTCAGGGGGAAGGGAGCTTAGAAGTGCAAAATAAAGACATGCAACGCTGAGGGTATAGCCGTTCAGGACATGTTTTGGGGGGGAATCTAATTTACAGCTGGGTTTGCCCATGGAGGCCTCTCACTGGGTATTTTCCATTTCTCTTTTTATATGAAGGTGTCCAGCCCTGACTTCCGACAAGCAGAGAGGTCTGAAAAGCAGGTAAGTGAAAGAGGACACACAGATGCCAGCAGCTACTAGGCGTACACTGTTTCCCATTGATGCACTTTGCGTGTGACAGGAGAAACATATAAGCAGGTTATCCTTGACACCCTGTTCTCTCAGGTTCTCCTCACCCAGCTTTTCCAGGGCACTGGAGACCCACCAGTAGAAGGAACCTGCCCTGGCACAGGCCTGGCTCCTCTGCTGCCTGGGCAAAGAGCACAGGTGTGCACGTTTGCCAGTGTGCGTGCACAGGAGGTGGCCTCAGGTGAGAACGCTGATGTCAGGAGCTAGAGCTGCAAACCAGCTGTGCAGACCAATTACTCTCTTGCCTTTCAAGGCGAATGGGAGTAATTCGAATGGGAGGCCGAATAGATGTGGGTGTTGGGGACATGAAGAGGGGAAGAGAGAAGGGAATGTTCTAGCTCCCCTCCTTTGTATGGGTGAATTTGCAGCTGAGGGCTGGGGACACAGCTAATAACCTCAGCCTCCACCAGTAGTTGGGGTGGTACCTTCAATCTGTAGCTAAGAATATTGGAAAGAGAAAAGATAATGGAAAATAAACGCAGGCCTGCTTTAGAGCTTGCCAAATGGGAGCTGAGATGGACAAAACTTTCAGGTAAACACGCTAACCAACACCTGAGAGAAGAAGGGCCAAGGCCAGCTGTGATCCCGCCCCCAATTTCACCCGGAGCCCAACTCCCCAGGATGTTTTATCAATTTCCTGTAATCCGTATAGCGCAGATTGCTTTCAGATTGCCGAAGAATCCTCACACCAGTCTTAAATTGCTTGGCAAGCCCTAGGCACATTGTGGGCTTCATTTGATTGTGTGACTGTGAGGTAGGTGGGCTGCAAGTGCTTCTTTGCCCAGCTGCAAGAGAGTGAGGGCCGGACTTGAGGCATGAAGTGTTAGAGATTTAGGGGGACACATTAGAAGCCTGAGCTGCCTGACCCCCTACTGATGCAATGTACCACCCATGATGCAGGCTCAGCCTTCACAGTGCTTGTCAGGAGGCCCTCTGGGAGTTAGATGCTGCCCACAGTGAACAAGACCTGTTCTCAGACCCACCTAAGCTGGGGTCACAGGAGGGATAAATTCAATTAAAGTTGGACTATGAGGGGAAGAGAAAGGTGATTTTTCTCCCTTTTCCTTGTTCCCAATGTTGGTCCCTCAAGAACAAACTAAGCTCTTCTCCCTAAAGCTCCAGGCCATGGAGGCTCTCGCCCCTCCCTGAGCCCCTCACGATAGCACAGCAGCACCCCTCGGTCCGTTCCTTCCTCCCTCTGGGGCAGCAGGCTGTCTGAATGCCTCACATCTCTTACCAACACCTCCCACAGCAGAGGGTTAGAGGGCACAGCCAAGCAGACAGCAGCACTGACGGCTTGTGCTGGTGCCAGCTGCACACCTGATCTGGAGTGCGCTGGCCTCTGACACGGGGACGCCTCCAGTGGCCATCCCCTGGCTCACTCAGCCAGTGTTTGCACTGTGACATTGGTTACTGGCTCCCATGCTGCCGCCACGCAAAGCACTCTTCTCCCTGAACTTCGTGCAAGTGCAAGAACTGACTTTGTCCAACCCAGAGTCCTCAGCTCCATGCAGTCAACTTTGTTCACATCTGGCAGTCCCATCACGAATGGGTGGTTGTGGCAGGACAACGGGAGGCTCTCAGGATGGATTGCTACGTTTGCTCCTTTCACTGGAAAAGAATGTTTTTCCTCTTGAGGTAGGAATGTAATTGGGGCTCAGCCTTGGCTAACACTCAACGTCTTGTAGCTCGATCTCCTCAGCTGTGTTCTCTGCAAAGCAAAAGACAAGTCAATGAGTTGCAAGTCAGCCATAAACCTGTGTTTATGGAGAGAACATATCAGATAACATGGGTCGCCTCCAGCCATAAAAGCATGAATTGATTATCACAAGTCCCAGAGAGTTACCTTTGAGCTTGTGTCTTCTCTTCCTCTGGAATTTATATGAACACTTATTACAAACCCACATGAGGCTAATTAATACTGCAGCTACAGCAGCGAGTAAAGCAAGGAAGACAGCGACAAAGTGGAGGTCTTCATACAGGATTTCTGTAAGGTAGGGGACGGGGAAAGGGAAGATGAGTCTCTTTTAATGTCATGGAGTCAGCCTCCCACACACTTGCAGTCAGAGGGGCACCAGGGTCTGTCTTACCTGACACATGCAGCACGATGGTGCCAAACTGGCTGCTCCCCAGGTGCTCTGTCACCGTGACGACATAGTAGCCAGAATCCCTCACGCCCACACTGAAGAGCTGGATGGAGCCATTGTCAAAGGTGCAGACTCTGTCCTTGTGGCTTCGGGAGATGTTGGCCTGGGTCCCCGGCTTCCACTCCACAATCTTCTGCACTCCCCAGTTGGATGTATACTTCCACTCGATGGTGGGGACGCCATGGCAGGAGTACTCCACCGAGAGCAGGATGTCTTCTTTCACTGTGGCGTTGATGGTGGACTGGGGGATGTACAGGGACACACTCTGACCTGCAGGATGGAGCGCTAGGTGTGGGGCAACTTATAGGAACTCGGTGGTATGAACTTCCTATAATTTATTAATTAGCAAATATTTCTTGAGTGCCTATTACATGCCAGGCTCTCTTCTAGGTTCTGGTGCTAGTGCTACAGTGGTGAATGTTATGATACAAACGTTTATACCCTGCCCCTCAAATTTCTGCACTAGAACACTAACCCCAGTCTGGTTGTACTCGGAGTTGGGGCCTAGAAGGAGCTAAGGTTAAATGAGGTCAGGAGGGTAGGGCCCTGATCCAACAGGATTAAAGTCTTTACAAGAGGAGACACAAGAGAGCAGTTCCCTCTCCAGGGGGACATGTCGATGAAAGGCCGAGTGAAAACACAGCAAAAAGGCGGCTGTCAATAAGCCAGGAAGAGAGCCCTCAACAGAAACCAAACCCTGCCAGCACCTTGATCTTGGACTTTCCAGCCTCCAGGACTGTGAGAAAATAAATTTCTGTTGCTTTTGCTCCCCCGTCTGCAGTATTTTGTATGGCAGCCTGAGCTGACAGTGAACAAGACACACAGTGACTGTTTACTATTCCCTGGAGATTTCGTTCTGTAAGGGAGACACACAAAGGCTAAAGAAACCAATGACATCATCTTAGATAGCGACAAGTGTTTAATAAAACAGGGCACTGGTGCCCAGTGGGGATGGAACTGGTCAACACCATTACAGAGAATGGTCATGGATATTCTCACTCAGCAAATGACTTTTGAAATGAGACCTAAAGGACAGGGAGGAAGAGGAAGGAGCCAGGTAACGACCGGGAAAGCACATTTCAGGCAGAGGGGACAACCACAAAGCCTGTGAGGTGAGAGTGAACACTGCTGAGCTGCGGGGCAGAAAGACGACCCCTGTGCTAGAGGACAGTGGGCCGAGCACAGAGGTAAAAAGACAAGGTGGGAGAGATGAGATCGGCAGGACCCAGGTCCTGAGGTGAAGGTCAGGGTGAAGTTTTTACCTAAGGCTAAGTCTATAGGAGAATTAATTGGGAGTGTGACACTGTCCATTAAGCTTAAGAATGTTTGCTGTGGAGAACGAACGTTATGGGGGTGAGGGGACCAGAATGGAAGCAGGAAGAGCAGCTGGGCGGCTGCCGCAGGGGCCTGGGAAGACGAGGAAGATATAACCTTGGAGAAAGCGAAGAGGGGTCTGATTTAGGGCTTGCATTTGGAAGTATGAGGACATGCTGACACACTAGATGTGGAGGTGGGTAAGGTAAAGAGGCATCAAGCAGAGATTTCTGCATGAAATGGTAGATTAATAGTAGTGGCTACAGCTACATATATGTTATTATACCATATTAAGTAGGTAACAGGCACAGGCCCTATACTACCTGCTTTACCAAACACATCATTCATTAGCTTCACAAAACCTATTTCAATTCTACCAAAAATGTACATATAAGCAACCTCAGGCCCTGGCCAGTGTGGATCAATTGGTTGGCACGTCATCCTATACACTAAAAGTTGCAGGTTCGATCCCTGGCTGGAGTGTGTACAGGAGACCAGCTAGGGACTCAGGCAGAATGAATTCTTGGAGCCTAGCCCTTGGTTTCCACCTGTTTCCTACTGAGCCCTCTCATGCTTTGGGTGTCCGGTTGCCCGGGGCTCCTGCTCTGTGGCTCCAGGTGACCACACCTGTTACCTTTCCAGGCCTTTCTCGCTGACCTCTACCACCCCCAGCACACTAGTGCTGCTGCCTAAAACCTGGCTTGGTGACTGGAGACCATCCACTCGATTCCATGCTGAAAAATTGGGCATAATGGCTTTTTAAGAGTTACAGCTGCCACGTAACCAAAATGTATTTTCTCCCTGACTCTGAATTTTAAAAACTGTTAAACACACAGAACATTTGAAAATAAGTACAATTACTATCTATATGCCATTCCCTAGATTCACCAATTATTAACATTTTGGTACATTTGCTTTCTCTCAGGAAGAAAACAGAGGTCAAATTCCAGGATGGCCCGTAGAGGGCAGGAATTAGGGGTTTTCTTCATCTCAGTGCCTGCTACACCCAGCACAGTGCCCGACATAGTTGTTGGTCAATAAATGATTGCTGAGTGAATGAGTAAGTGAATGAACAAATATTTATAGAAGCAAGAAGGAGAATGAGCCATTTTTGATAAAACTGTTGTTGCTGTGGGGGTTAAAAAAGCTAGGCACGTCTAAAAGCTAACAAGCATATAAGACAGAACTACAGTCAAGGCCTTCTGTGCCAGTTACTCTATCATACACTTACTATGTACTTTACAACCCTTGTCTCTTATTTTTTAAATGAAAGCCAGCAACACGCCCACATAGCTGGAAACGTCAAAGGTGGGATTTGAATGCAGTCTGTCTGGCGCAGAACCCATGTTTGTACCATTCTACTTGGTGACTGTCATTTACATCTGTTTATATTTTCTGATTTCTCTGACCTTGAACATGAGCAGTTGAAATAGTGATTTCTGTGGGATCTGGAAAGCCCTAGTTAGAACGAGTGACCAATCTGCATCATCACTGACGTGTGTTCCATATACTTTCTATGCTAGCCATGCTGATCCAGGGAGACTGCGGCCTTAGGGACCTGCATTCGAGCCTTTCAATTACTTTGGCCCAAGAAAGAGCAGAACCGAGAAACAAACAAAACTAACAAGCCTGAGTTTCTCAGATGCTGATGTAAACAAATAAATAATACACAAACAAATAAACAAATAAATAAATGCATCCACCTTAAAATGCAGCCTGTGCTGCCGTGCAGGAGGAATGCAGGCCTCTGACCTCTAGGACCTTGGGGGCCAGGTGGAGAGAGGCATGGGGGGAAATTAGGACAACTGTAATAGCATAAAGAGTAAAACGTAACTTAAAGAAAATGTTTGGGATGTTAAACAGGGCAAAATCACTTTTGGACTGGACCTAAACCAAGATTGTGCCCCAAAGACCTGCTTGCAAAGATAACAAGAAAGCAGAAATATGACCGCCCGACTGGAAATTAAAAACACTCTCCGGAAGTAACTTCGCTGTGTCGGTTTATCTGCACCAACAGAAAGGCCTCCCTTCTGTCAATGTAGTTGTTCCTCTTCCCCTTCCCATACCGCTTGCCACTGTCTCCCAGTCGGAACACTATTTTGATTTTTGCCTGAATCAGTGCTTCCCACATAGTTATTACTTTTTGGTCTCAAATAAATGCATGTTGCCTCTTACTCTGGCCTTTTATTTTTAGGTTAACACTGATACAGCTGTGAACTAACCAACTAGTTTGCACTGGTTGCTGTATTTTCTCTTGACTAGAAAAACTTCCTCCTGATCAGACAAACGAATCAGGTGTTTAACTAGGTTTTAGGAACAAAGAGTTTCTCCTCCTGCCAACCTACCACATATAATTAGAAATAAAGGATCTGCAGCAAGGAGAACTAACGGTTCCAAGAATTTAAAGGCAAACTGCTTGTCAGCTGTTGAAAAAGTTATTATTAACAAGCAGCCACCTCTGCACCTCATGCTAACATCATTGCAGAGCAAGTCCAGAGACACTTAGTGACTAGACCAATATTCACACCTGGCTCCAAAGTTCTACTGGAGGAGGTCCGTTCCGTAAATCAGATTCTACTTATAAAATCCATGCCAAGCAGCCATTAACATGGGTAAGCTTTGTAAGAACAAGGAAAGATGTGTGTGATATGTTAGCAAGTTAAAAAATAAATTTATAAAACAGTAGAATATATTTATTTATATTTGTGTAAATATATGCTAATTTGTAGAAAATGTTTGGATGAATATATGATAAACTGTTAACAGGAATTGCTCCTTAGAAATTAGACGGCAACAGAATTTTATTTTACAAGTTATATATTTACATAATTTTGTACTTTTTAAAAAAAGATTTTATTTATTTATCTCTAGAGGGGAAGGGATGGAGAGAGGGAGAGAAATACCAATGTATGGTTGCCTCTCGTGAGTCCCTTCCTGGGAACTGGCCTGCAACCCAGGCATGTGCCCTGGCTGGGAATCAAACCACCATCCTTTGGTTCACAGGCCTGCGCTCAATCCACTGAGCTACACCAGTCAGGGCTAATTTTGTACTTTTTAATACTTACTCACTGAATTAATTTTTAAAAATGTACTTTGAAAAATCTTTGTAAGTGCACCTGATTAGAACAACCAATCTGGTGGGCAAAGTTTAAAGAAAAGTTTAAAAGTTTATCTTGCTTCTTATTTTCACTTGAATTTTATGTGAAAAGTGGAGAAAAACACATTCTATCCAATTTCCCAGATAGATGAAGATGCCTCCTTAAAGGAAGAAGTCACAGAACTGAAGATTTTAGCAGGGCCAGAGTCACTGGAACCTGAATCCAGAAGCATCCTGGAAGCTTGATTTTTGGGGCTTAGTGAGAAGTAATTGGAGGGAGATCATCAGGCAGGTGAAACCAGATTCCAGGCAACAGGCTGGAACACTGGGGTGGGCAAAGTAGGTTAATAGTTCATAATACAATAGTTAATACATAAATAATACTATAAGAATAAACTGTTTTGTGTACTCATAACTGTAAGCCTACTTTTGTCCACCCTGTATAGTACAGCAGGTCCTTGAAAAACATCATTCCATTCAGTGTTGTTTAGTTATAATGTTGATGAGAAAAAAAAATTGATTCCTGGCCAGGGCCACCGTCGCTGTAGAGCCTGCACATTCTCCCCGCGTCTGTGTGGGTTTTCTCCTGGCCTTTCGTTTTCCTCCCACACCCCTACGGAGTGCACGCCAGGTGAGTCGGTGTGCCTGCCTTGTCCCCGTCTGGGTGAGTGTGGGTGGGAGTGGTTCTGGGATGGGTGTCCTCTCCTGGATGGGTCCCACCCTGCACCCCGAGCTGCTGGGATGGGCTCCGGCCACCATGAACCTGACATGTTTCAGTCTCTGTTCAGAAGTTTTGTGACGTTTTTTGTCAGAAATGTGAACTTGACTCTGACTTATATCAATTAGCCTAGGGTAAAAT